CAAAAACTAAAGATAGAACGATGCTTTGAAACAGTTGCAACAAAGTTTCCCTGGCATTTTATTACATTACTACAAAATTGTTAGTTTTTCTACCTTCCTCCATTTATTAAATTATATAAATTTATTTTAAAAAAAGAAAATTACATTTACATTATTTATACATCATATTCTAATTGATATATGTATCAATTTCTTTCTCTTTCTCCCTCTCTCTCTCTCTCTCTCTCTCTCTCTCTCTCTCTCTCTGTCTCTTTTTTTCTTTCTTTTACACTTTATACGATCAATTTTTTGATTTCAGAGATAGCTCATAATAATACTTACTGATTAACTGTGTTGAACTGTTAATATAAAAATTTAATTAGGTGCCATCAACGTGATGAATGTGATAAATATATGACAACACATTCATCGGCTAACAATTTAAGACCTACTAGTTAACATACCGACTTGCTAGTGTTACGATCATGGAATACACTATGGAAAGAGTTATGTTTCCTTATTTTATAATGGTTTTCTTCATGGGTTGTGGGATTTACAAACATCCGAAAAGTTATCCCAGACGATGTTTGAGTATTGGTTATATTGTTTTAGTGTGGAGTGTTTATACTTGGAGTTTATACAATAAAATATTACGTACAATGCAAGTAAACTCACTTTTTCAATTGTTAAATTCATTTCTAATAGGAATAAATTTGCTCCTATGGATGATATCTGTATTTATCACTTTTTACAATTACGAGGTACAGTAACTATTACATTCCATAATTGTTTAATATAATAGATGTAATAAAATTTTTCAGTTTACGATTTTTTTACTTTTTTACATATGTTTGCGAAACAGAATTTTTTTAAAAATGTAATGTTATAATTTTACATTGTAGAAATATTTTTGTGCTTTAATGGTTATTTTATTTTCAGGAACAGTGGATGTGTATAAAAAAATTAGATCTTGTAAATGATACATTAGAAAAGATTGGAATATCTAAAGAATTTAGCAGATTGCGAAAAGAGCTAAAGTGGTCATTGATTTTATGGTTTATGCTAATATGCACAATAAATATTCTTGATACTGTAATAGGCTTCTATCTTAACTTTCTGATAAATCTTCAAGATATACTAGTTATATGGATTGTACAGTATCCTATACATATCAATACTATACTAGACTTCATGACTATGTCTATTTTAAGGTTAGTGTTTGTATGCATATGTGTGTAAAATCGGTACATAATACTTTATATTTAAAATAAGAAAACAATTCTGCATTACATAAAAAACGTATTATTAATGTTTACCTATCTTAAAATGACAAATATATAAACGTATTATAACATATTGCGACTTTGGAAGCTAATTATGAAACGTACTGCTATTGTACGGTAAACATGGAGACTTTCAAATATTTATGTTCACTGCAATTATTATCTGTTTATTTCTTTGTCATATAAGTGCATAAAACTCGGCAGTTTTTACTTTAACTAACTTTTGCTTTAATATTACAGATATATCGGTATTAGATTAGATAAAATAAACGACCATATAGTACAATTGTCAAAGATTGAGAACTATGACCTGAGATGTATGACGAAAAAATCTGTTATTGTCAATCGTAGCTATAATCGACGCACAGAGTACCGCAAGCGTATATTGTGGATTGCAATGTAAATTATTAGTATATGTTAAAGTACCAGACAAAGAAAATAAAAAAACTTATTTGTAAATAACGATTTTACTACTTATAAAAATAGTGTGTTCTTACTACTCAATGCTTCATATTTTCACTTGTGCAACTTTCTACATATATTTGTAATACTTTTGTATTGATTGTATTTTTGAGTAATATTGTTGGGTAAATATTCAGAAAAATGGAGCACTTTCGGAGGTCAATGACCTTGACATATGTTGTCAAGGACACCTCCCTGAACAACAATTTGCAACTTTTAGTCGTCTCTCGTTGTTCGTTAAAAAATTAGAAACAAAAGAAATATCACAATATCAAGGATAAGGGTTGTCGTCTGGTTCAATTGATAAAAAACAAATATGTGTAAGAAGACGGCGAGTATGAACCAATTACGCAGGATGTTGTGCAATGAAACAATATGTAATGTTGAAGAGCGAAACGTTTCGACTGTTTATTCAGTCTTCATCAGTCGCAAGACTGAAAATATAATACAATAATTATTTTACAATGTGTGTTAAATATAATTACAAAGTTGTTGATATGCAGAAAGACGGAAAACGCACCTTTATATAAAAGAAATATCATAAATTAACTCTTATTTTCGGACAACGTGTACGTTTTGTTCGTGTTGTAAGCGTGTAGGCAGAGGAGGTTGCGCCTACCCGCAGGGAAAGGGGCTTCGCCCCTCCCTTCTGCTCCCCCCTCGAGAAAAAATGAAGAATTCAATCAAGTGTCGCTTCATGTCATAATTGTTTACTCAATCAATATGCACGGTTACACTCACCATACAGTGTCACAAAAAAAGTTTCGTAGATTCTCATACTAATTATCACACGCAAAACATCGAAAGAATTTGGCGAGATATACGAAGTAATATTCCACTTCATGTGAAGTGAACAATCTTGACATGAAGCAACACTTAATTAAAGTCTTCATTTTTTTGTGAGGGAAAAGCAGGGAAGAGGGGTGAACCCCCTCCCCCTCCGGGGGTCGCAGCTTCCCCTTGCCTACACGCTTAAAACACAAACAAAATGTACACCGGAAAATAACAGTTTCTTGACGCAACTCCTTTTTTGTTTATAATTTTTTAACAAACAATGAACGACGGCTAAAAGTTGCAGATTATTGTTCAGGGAGGTGTCCTTGACAACATATGTCAAAGTCAAATATGTCAAATTTTTCTGAATATTTATCTATTTTTGTAAGCTACATAATGTAAAGAACGGTGATCGATAATTAGTTATTTATTAACATCTCTTATTTTCATTCAAATTAAAAAAAAAGATGCATATAAAATATAAAAACTATTTACGTAAAACTTGTTTCCTTTCTATAGGCATCTTCATTTGGAACTTTGCCATGTGGCTCGCACTATAAACGCTTTACACGGAGTGCGAATGACAATACAGATGGCATCTTATTTTGTTATGTTTACGGGATATATTTATCTCCAATATCATGCACTCATGTGTTTGAGCCACCAGAACGGATTACTAAAATGGTACTTTAATATTTCCGGCATTGTAAAGAAGATTTTCTTTTTAATTATACTTATAACAGTAAATCACATCTGTGAAAGTGTTAGTGCCAAGGTAACATAACTTTGTATACCATGAAATAATATTATAAAAAAACTTCTTTTACTAAAATTTTAATTCTTGCTTTTAGGCAGAAAGAACCAAAATCGTTATTCATAAATTGACAAATCTTATTCGTTTTGCAGATACGTATGATGAAGTAATATAAATTCAGCACACAATTTTTTTTTATAAATTGTTTTGCATATGTTTAAGATTTGTGTAACACAATATGTGTATACTACAGATTTATCAGTTTGGTTTGCAATTATCGCTTCATCCACTGAAGTTTACCGGATTGGGCTTATTTTATTTTGGCTATAAGTTCGTCCGTTCGGTTAGTTTTTAATAAGATTTCTTTCTATAAATAAATAAAATCAAAAAATTGTTGTTTTCTTCACTTTCTTTTTCTTTTAATTTTACAGAACAGCAAAACATAGCAGTTATGTAACATTTGCTTTCAGTTTGCTGTCTGGGTTTTTACTATTGTTCTTCTACTGGTACAAGTGGACACTTTTGTAGAAAACAAATCTTCTAACTTAAATATACGAGAATGTGTTTTCAACAACAAGTAAAAACCTACTATTTTAGAATTTTTGTATTGTTTTTTATATTACTCTACTTTTATACGTGTTTAAATATATAGTTTTTGTATTTTTGTTGTAAGAATGAGACACATGAAAATATATATTAGTCAAAAAGTATAGCTGTACCGACACTATGTTGTCGTATTCCAATCATACTATATTAATGTAGTTTTTACATTAATCTTATAGCAGTTTTCCTCTACTGACTCTATAAGCAAAAAATCACAATTTAAAGTATTATCGGCTCTACTATTGTCCAGCGATATCGACTGTTATTTTTATAAATCAAAGATCTGTATGAAAGGTAATATTGCTTGGAGATATTTATGAAGAGATTTGCTGTAGACAATACGTTGACAAACCTAGGTATTTTAAACATAAAATGTGATAAACTCTACATATATATCAAAAAAGAATAATTATGTAGATATTATATGTATCATTCTTACAAATAACCGTGACATGGTATGGTAAATCTATGCAGTAAGAAAGAAAAATTCTTGCAGATTCTTTCTACTATTTATTATAAATTATGTGCATTCTGTTAGTATGATAATAAATGTAGTATTTTTTATTTGTTTGTGGTTTGTATATTCTTTAAATTATTTAAGTTCCAATAAAATTTAGATTTAGAAATAAGAGATTTTTATATCACATGTGTATATGAACACATCTACCGTAGTTTTATCTTTTATAAAAACTTATTTTTTTAATGTGCGGTACATCTTAAGTTTGTTTTATTTTTTTTCATTGGGTACACTAGTTTACAGTCTATCTTGTTTCTTCTAATATAAATAAAAACAGATATTAGTATATTATGTGTTGTCGGTTTCTTAGCATTATTATATTTTCATTATTCTGTATTAGTATGTCTTATCCATATATGAGAACAAAAAGGTAAAATTGACGCTGGTATTTTATAATGAAATTTGAACTTTCTTTTTAATTATATTTGTAACATTAAATCATATCTGTGAGAGAGTTAGTACCAAAGTAAAATATCTTTTTCTACATTACTTAAAGATGTACCTCTACTTTTAATAATTGTTATTTAATTTTACTTTTTTCTTTCCCGATAAAAAATTTTTCATTTTTACTTATACATTAATTGAAATTATTATATCTACCCAGCAAACAATTTCTGACTGCGCAGACATGGCACCAGAAACTGTGTGCAGAAACGCTGCAATACGGAAACATGCTTTGTGTGCTGCCAAAGCTGTTAACACACAGACACAAAGGACGCAACAAAGTCACCAAAATTCACCAAAACCATATCTTACTGAGAACACAGATGGATATGGATTTGGTCTGGCGGTTGGCGACAAAATCGCGACAAATAACAACCAAATTGCTGAGTAATTATGCAAATTTATATGCCGAATATGTCCAGTGACGTGGTATTCGCGCCGCTCTTTCTCCGTCACAAAAGTTGAAAGATTTCGCGGGAGCCCGGGAAAACGAGCTGAAAAACGAGCGCCAAGATCCTCCAGGGCTTGCATGCATCCGCTTAGA